GCAGCCCCAACGGCGGTGGCCAAGCCTGCCCAGAGTTGCTGGCCCCGGACTCTCTGGTCGGCCGCGGCAGTGGCTGGGAGTTGCTCCTGCACCACTCCAGCAGTAATTGTGCCGGGTTGTTAAAGCAGATTGCAGGAACTCGGAGACAAAAAGACAGCATTTTGCACCTTATATATCTTAATAGATTATTCGTGTCACAAGCAACACAGAGCGAAATGTTATGACAACCATAAGAATGTAGTTTACTGTGGCTTAATGTGGCTGGGCAGTGCAGGGTAAAGCTATCAAATTCTTTATTTTTTTTTTAAAGTTTCCTAGAGAAACTAACTGATGTGGACATGCAGCTATTTTTACACAAAACCCTGACTTTTGGCAAACTCTTTCCAGGCTATAGCAGAAAACGCTTAGTCTTTTTATTAGTAGTAGTATCACAGTGCCAAAGTAAAAATCATACGCTTTCCCACTTGGAAGCTTTCTTGTAAGCTGATGTCTGAGCTGATGTAATAGGGGAATCTTCTACAAAGGACACATGTCCCAAGCGGGGCAGCCAGTTGCTGGCTGCGGCGTGCAATACGCCTCGGAAAAAAAATAGCTTTCATACTTGGGTAGGATGAAGTCCATGTATCTTTATCCATGAATGAATGAGTGAATGAATGACTATCAATGCTGAAATTTGATCTTACTGTAAAATCCTAGAGATTCGAATTTCACCAGGCACATGTATGTATACAAGAGGGATCTTGGAGCTTCTGGGAAAGAATTGCAGTGCACTGCGGAAAAAATGCATAGTCATAGGGTTACTGCCCTCGTGGACTGGGAAGCGAGAAACTTACCTGCGAATCTTAATCCCAATATTAGTTTGGAAACCATTGAAGCAAGGGCTGGAAGCAGTCCTAGATCCTCTCTGGGAGATGGATGCATAAGCCTGTAACTTTAACAAGCTGGAATTCAAAATATGCTCAACCTAAAACCCCAGGCTGGGACGTGTATGGGCTTGGGGGAAAGCTCAGCTCCAGCACCTCCTGTTGAGATTTACAGTGCTGAGACTGATGCCGTGCACATTTTAACCACGCGGTGCCCCATCATGACAATGTGACATCACGTGAGGATGGGATTTCAGCTGTGGGCAGGGAAAAACGTAGGTTAGAACATGAAAACAAGCTGTGCAGTTCTTGTTCTTGTGGGTCAGGGAAGAGCAGAGATTCCCACCCAAAGTGAAGGGCTGGCTTGGGCCCCACATGAACTTTGTGCTTGGGTGATCACGGGTGCCTGGATTGATAAAGAGTGAGCCAGAGAGATAAATATACGTACAGAGGAAAATAAGAACAGATAATGGATTGGCGTAAGTCGCAGTATATTTCCTCCTAGTGATGAAAGGCTAAGAGTGAGTTATAGATCTTTCCTTGCGATAAGAACAGATATTTCTTTCCAAATCATTTATCTATAAGATACTGAGATATTATTTAGGTCTGCATTGGTATTAATCTGGCTCTTTGCGTTTCCGTCCCAGTCCTTCAGCAGGTGAAAATGTGCTGGTAGGGACCCTAAAGGTCTCATCTGCAGCTCCTGTGGATGAAGAATTAGTTTTTATCATAGAGAATTGGGAGGACTGAGGGTGTGTTTATGCTAGTGTCCCAGGTAAATGCGACATGGCTACTTATCCGTTACCAGAGTTTAACTCTTCGTTTGTTCAGGTCCTTAATGTATGAGAGGCAATGGCTCTAAGTGTTGCAAGATCTGTCTACTGCCCTGGGATATAATTAACTTCAAAAAAAAAAAAAAAAAAGAGGATGCCTGTATGAAGAAAACAACCCCACCTGACAACTTTGATGGAAGAAATGGAAGAGCCTTCTCCCTTTGACGGCTCCGGAGCCGCTGGTGCATCAGGTGGGTGCGCTCAGCCCTTCCATCCCCGCAGTTAGGGCTATATAACATGCATGTGTCTCAGAGGTACGACATGTACGGCACACACACATGAGGGTGTGCAGCCTTGGCTTGAAAAGAGAATTCAGAAAAAAGCAGCATGTTTTCATCAATGGGGAAAAGTTAGAGTACCTGATTCTATGTTTTCCGTGTGATTAGAAAAGCCATTATTATTGCTAATAATAATGGTAGTGGTGTTATTTTTAAAAATCTATTTACTAAAGATCTGATCTTCAACCCTGTGCCTGGCGGGAGGCGGCTCCCCCTCTCCTCACAGCGCCGCGCTCTCCATGAAGCTGCCTCCAGCTTGAGGCAATGGTGGAAACATTAGGGACAGGCAACGGCACTGGGGCTGAGAGGAGAGGGCAGGTGAGCTGGGGAGAGAGCCTGGGGTCTGCCACCAGCCGGGCAGTGTCAACAGGGCTGTGGGAATGAGGGGCGGAGGGGCTGGCGGTGCCGGCTGGGTGCCATGCCCGTGAGTAACGGCCGTTTGCCTGCGAAGACACTTGCGGGTCAAGGGGACTCGCGTTTCTGCTAAACAGCCCGGTATATCTTCACTTTCTGTAATCTCAGCTGGAGCCTTTGCTGTCATGCTTTCCCCCTGAAAACCCCCTGCTTTTGAATCTTAAGAGAAATCTTTACAGTGGTCAGTAAATCCTAATGTTGTACTTGGTGTGTTTTATGAGATTTCCAGTAACGCACAGCTTCAGAGATTTGTCACTTGGCGGATCAAACAGCTCTAAGGACGAAGCAGACTGGGGCTGAGGGGGGAAGAAGTCAACTGTCCCCATCTTGTTTAAATGAGCTTCAGGTTCAGTACATTAACGTGCTAATAAGGAAGCCTTGTGTTCTCACACTGTTCTTAAAGGCATTCTCACACTGCTGACCCGACCTCTTTAATCCTGGCTTTCCTGAAGGAAAAGCTGATCCATCAGGCCTCCTGTATCTAAAATGGGATGAAAGGAAGAGATGGACCTATTTCTACGCTGGTGTTTCTCAGGTACCTCAAGCAGCCTTGTTCTTTTTGTATTCATCTCTCATTTCCCTGCGAAGGTAAAAAAGAAAAAAAGAAAGGAAAAAAAAACCCCTAGATGTGAGGGCTCAAATCACTAAAGATGAGAAACAGCAAAAGGAAATAAAGAGGTCACACACCTAAGTTAGCTTATGATTAAAAAGAAATTAGTGGGGCTATTTTTAATTTGTTTAAATATATTACTTTCTATTAAAAAGGTCTTTATATTTCACTAAGTATGAGATGAAGTGTGTCACCAGAGGAAGATTTTTCAGTTTTAGTCTCTTTTCTCTTAAACAATTACAAGGCAGAGAAACTCTGCTGAAATCACAGATGTGAAGCCGGCAGGAATGGCAGCAGAGTGGGACTTTTCCTCTACAGTACAGTGTGGTCACCTTCCAGTGGGGCCAATTTGCAAGAATTCGGGGAAGAAAAACGTAAGCTGTGCACGCCAGGTACATTGTGGGTAAGTCTGTGGTACCACATAGCCCCCCAAATATTCAGCTTCAGAACATTGTGCAGCCTTGAGAAGCAAATCGCTGCATCCCTGTACTCAGACCCAGCCCAAGGTGTTTGAGCCCCAGCCCAAGGAGCTGGTGGGAGCCCTCTTGGAGGCTGAAGTGCATCTTGTGTCTGAGTTGTGCTGCCAGAGCTTATGACTTTTTTTTTTTTTTTTTAAATCTGCTAGGCTATGGATATTTTCAGGCTGCAGCTGACAGAAATTAGAAAGGATAGTTGTAAATGAAGTTTTGTAATGCTAGAAGTCTGTGATGGAGCTTTTTTAATCAGTGCACAAGCTAAATGGTGATCCAAGTGTTCTAAGATTTTTCCATGAGATTGCTTGGTTTTCCATTTTTCCTCTATATTTTCACATCTGGAACACCTCTTTTGTTAAATGGAGTGCCTTAAGAGTGAATGTAGCAATTGGGTTAGTCTCCACAAACCTGTGAGGCTATGAGGAAAATCCACCATAATGCTTAAAAATAAATAAATAAATAAATAAAGGGCTTTGTTGGGAATTTGTCACAAAACTCAAAATCAGTGCAAACGCCCTCAGTTTCTTGTTTCATTCCCAGCTGGAAAGTCAGGCCAGAATCACTGAACATTTCACCAAGTCTTGCTAACCTTCTGAGCTGAGTTGTGAGAAATTGTTCTTGACATCACATGAGCTGGGCCACAAGGCAGGACTAATGTGATATTTGCTGTTGAAGGTTTCCTAGGAAACATGCTACTTAGAGCGCCGAGCCTTCCCTGCCACCTTGCCCGCATCCTCCAGTTTTGCCCATTCCCACAGGTTTTGCAGAGGGCAGTGATGTCCCTCTGATCTCTGGACACCCTGGGTGCAGACCCCCCGCTACAGTGCGATGCTTTCCAGCAGCCCTGCACACCCAGCTGAGCAGAGAGTGGTTGCAGAGATTTTGATACTCATCCACCTAATTGCCCTTTTTTCTGTGATTTATCCCTTCCCCTCCTTCCCGCCCCCCTCCCCCATCCCCCCCGCAGAACTCTGCAATGGGAGAGGTAGAGAAACTGGGCTGCATCCTGCAAGACTGGAGCCGAAAAGAAGGAAGTCTGAGCATTCCCAGCAATCCTAGTGTTTCCTGCCAAAGGGGAACTGGTGGGAAAAGGTTAGGAAAATCAGCAGATAACTTAAAACTTAACTTGCCACAAGGCTCCTCGTCTTTTGGCTGCAGTTTGCAAGAGTAGCTATTATGGTACATAACCTGTAGGGATTTTTCAGCTGGATGGGGTTCCCCAATTCATTTCCACAGTTTCATCTGGTGGCTGTAGATGCTATCCTTGACATCAGACCTGCATAAATGCTTCCTGTTGTTCAGGCCAAACTTTTCAGCTTGGCCGTTTGGAGTGGCAGGATAGTTCCCATTGAGGATGAGATGAATGGAATCGGTTCACACATGTTAACCAAATGCAAATCCTTAGATGGAAACTCATGGTCAGCTTTTTCCAATGCTATTTTCAGAACTTCCACAAAAGACTGTGCTGTGATTATATGTATTCATGATATGTATATCATGTATTCAGCTCAAACAATATTTGAATGATGCATTTAGAATTCTTCCTAAAAAAGGACCATTCTTCTGTAAACTGCATCATATTTGTAAAAGAGGAAAAAAATCTAGGTTGCTTTTCCTTTCTTCTTCTCTTTCTTTTTAATGTATCATTTCGTAAGGCTTTAAGAATTGGTGTTAATGCTACATTACACACAGACACACTTCTACATAATCATATGCATTTGCATGTATGCCATACATAAACAACCCTATGGAATCCCGACTCTCCATTGTTAAGTTTGTCTCCATATTTTTCAAAGCAAAGAAGCTCTGGGTGTCAAACAGTTGCTTTTTTTTCCAGACTCTTTCACTGGGCTGTACAGCAAATACAGCCAACAAAATAAAGCAAGGGGGGTTTTGAGGGTTGGTTTTTCTTTTTCCTACCTGGCCGTTTATAACTACCTATTTTTCCTCTTGTCTCCTCCACTGATAAAACACCATTTTTTTGACTCCATCATTAAGTGTCCTTCACGTTGCCAATACTGATTTCCCCAACCCCTTGAAGGCCAAGAATGTCACCTCCATGATGCTCCCTGCAGCCACTGGCTCGGAAAACAGGAGAGCTAAGGTTGCTATGGCCAGGCATTGGTTTCCCACATGGTAGGCAAGAAGACAAGTAGCCTTAAGTCACTGGACTGTCTGATTCATTTATCTCTGTGATGCCATTCACTTCACCTTACTGCATGTTTGTGTAGTGAAGCTGTTTGGCCAACATGCCCTATGGGCCTTGTCTTAGTAATGAAAGTGCAGAGGGTTGAAAAGAAATTCCTTTCTGGATTGTTTAGCTCTATCTTCAGTTTCTGATGGCATTTTGGTGTGCTTGCAGATTCAGAAGAGCAGCATCTGCTGGGGACTTCAAAGCCAGCAAGACTTCACCTGTGTAAATCTGGCAGAATTTGGGGGTTTGTGGCCAGAGAAGGAAAACCAGTAATGCTCTTCTCTTTCTGTTCAAACCCAGAAGAGTTTCTTCCAAGCGTTAAGACTGTGGGACAGCTGATGTCAACCAGGTTCAGAGAAACAACATTGGCTTTGCTGAGAATCTGCATACAAGTCTCAGGTCTGTACCAATCTCAGAGATCAGCACTTTTCTTTGTAGAGTCATGCTTTTCTTGCACGAAAGCCATGGTAGATTTGCAAATCAGCCTCTACCTGTGAGATACCATCATGAAACCACATTGCTCATAGAAGGCAGAGCTTTTCTAAATTGTGATAGAATACCCAATATGGAAGGCTGGGGGGTTAGCCAGACAATTCATTCATTTTCAAAGCACTTTAAGAATGTCAGTCCTCATGGCACCATGTATGATATATGTCAGGGGATATTGTTATCCCCCATTGCCAGCTGAGGAAAGGAGGAAAGGAGATTACAAAACCACAACTTGAGTTATTGTTGGAGGCAGGACTGGAACTCGGGATTTCCTGGACAGATTACCAGCCTTCACTTCTCCCTCAGCTGGTATAATTAGCAGTGTCCTGGATCTCTCTTATTCCCATGCAAGAACCCAATTAAATATGTTTTCTTTATTTGAAATTGTCTGTCTTGGGGTCATTTCTGTTGTGCTCTTCTGGCTGTTAATGGTCCGTTGTCTGCAGTGAAATGCTCACTAGTATACTGTAAATCGTGAACAGATGTAAAGGCATCCATTTGTGACTACTGATTTAATCTCTATGGATTTCTGAAACTGGCTACTTGTAAAACTTCGGGAGCCACATCTTGGAAAAAAAAACCACAGTCCTTTGTGGCTCTTTAATTTTTTTGTTCTTGGCTGCTAGCCATTCAGATGGATGTCTTACATCCTTGAGATGAACTTAGTGCAGTCCTCATTGACCTAGCAAGCCATTTTTTCCCTGATGACAAGCTGGGATCACATCTTGTAATGACTGCTGCAAGATTGTCTTGTTAGGGAAAGGGCTAAGGTGGGATTGTCTTTAATGACAATGAAAGCACCTCATAAAATCTGATTCTTCAGTTTTACAGGCATGGCTCTAGAATTTTAGCCGATGCAGACTTAGTAAATCAGTCAGTCAAAAATTATATCAGTTGAAGTATAATGTTCATGGCAGTCCAAAAACCTGAACATGTAGGTGATTTGGAGGGCATTTTGTTAACTCTTTAATTGGTCGTTTGAGTGCTGGAGGCAGTAGCTAATTGCCTGTAGGTCAGAGTAGTCCTAGAGCTTAGGTAAATGTATATTGTCATATGTCACATTTTCATATGGCTCCTTTGCACAGGTTGGTAAAAGTGATTGCTGCATAATTAAAATTAAGACAAGGTGGGAAAAGTGATTCAATTAAACCCCTGAAGCCATTGCACAAATTATCTGAAGTACCAAAAACTAATGAATAGTTAAAACTAGTTTTATCTTTTTACTCTTCATTCTTGAATCCTGAGGGTATTAGAATGGCTGGAGTCTCTCTCAAAGTTCTCAGAGGTAAGTTTTTGGGTGGGCAGTGCAAGTATGAGTCAGCGCAGAGGAATCCAGGCCTTTTAAAATACCAGCACACAGAAACTTTGTTGCCTAGTTGTTTTGAATTGAAAATAACCAGACCTTATGCACAAGAGACCTTTTGGTTTCTCCACCAGCCCAGAATTATTTTGAAAACATCTGCAATATTTCACTCTGCATGCAGCAGGTATTATATACCAGGGAGGGTGATGACAGCAAAAATAAATGAGATATGTTGTAACCAAAACATCCCAAGTTTTACATCATACATTTCACAACCCTAGCAAGCATCCTGTGCTTTGACTTGAAGGCTAAAGGCATGTGGTTGTTTTACAAATGTCTATTACTATTAACAAATATGTTCCATTATTAGACAGCGTGCCACTGCCCCAACCTCCTGGTGTAAGAGGTGAGTTAATATGGCTTATAAAATATAAGAGTGTTGCAGGCACAAGCTATGGAAATAGGAGCCCTGGCTAAGCAGGAGGTCTCATTACATTTGGTGGGACAACTTACTAGGGGCCTGAACATGAGTATAAAAGCTGCCTCCCAGCTAAGGCTTTTTATGGTTCCTGTCCTTTCCCAGAGCAATACAACTTTAGGAGCTTTAGAGCAACAAGGTCTGCACCTTTGGATACCACTGGTGTGCTAATTCTGGCTGGGTTTAAAATGAGAGGTGAATGAGAGAATTAAGATATGTACGTTTGCACTATCCCTGCGTTTTTTAACAGGATTTTTTGATGGTTGAAAGTAGCAGACCACTTAGGAGATGTGCTCTTGCACAGTTGGTTTTTTGTTTACATGGCTCTCTGCTGCCAGCTATAAACCTCCATTTCTGGGAAACAGAGTGTTTCTTGGCCAGGGCTGCCAGGATTGTGAGTGTGTGGACAGAGAGGACCCAAGTCACTGAACCTGTATAAATGGCACACCTTAAGTGGGAACAAAAAAGTCTTGCTAATTTTCATTAGAGCAGATATTGTCCTGGAAGATTTTTAAAATATACCCTCACAGAGACTGTTTCCAGCTATCCAAGTAGAGTTGTCTGCATGCATTGCCCCTTGTAGGGGTGGCGCAGATGAATAGCATATCTGATGAACACAATAGCGTCTTTTTATGCTTCCACCTGTTTCAATGTAACAGTTATAAAACCTATTCTGATGTTTATCCAGAGCTTAATCAGGAATCTTAAATAGGAACTAATTTATTATCACAGGTAGGATATTCATCTAAGTATCAGCTTTATCAAGCTAAGAAAATCCCTGCTGAGGACCAGGATGATTCAGGGTATAGTAGGTTACAAAAACACAACAATGTCAACTCACTAGATGAGGCCTTCATCAATGGGTAAAGCTTCTGTAGGTATAAAAAATAATCCTTCCTGAAGATTTCTGTGGATCAAAATCCCAAGAGGTGCAGAGAGTACAGAAAAAGGAGAAAACTGAAACACAAGAGGTGTTCAAATCATGTGAGGTCTCCACTTTCCCATGCTTCCTGCCAGAAAAGCAGTCGAACATTGTCAGGGGTGTCCTAAAAAGTAAAAGTTGTGAATAGGCAAAGGTCTCTCCTGGTGTTGCAGTCTCCCCACCAAAATACTTACCTCAGTCTTTTTTAGTATGAGTTCGGCCTAGGCTGCTAGTAATCAGAGTCAAAATTTCCACCATTTCTCACCTGCGATTCAAGAAAAACACTGCTTATGCCATTAAACAGAGTGTTTTTCTGTAGCCTTTTCTATATCCCCTTGGCCAGAGACCACCCAAAAGCCAGGTCAAGTATTGCTTGTGACCAGTCTAGGTTGTTCTTTTACTAGAAGGCATACGTGAGAGTCTGTAGTTGCTTGCTTTTATAAATGCAGATTGAGATTTTGGAAGACTACCAACAAAAAACAGATTATGGTATAGGCTGTTGCGGATTGCATCAGGAGAGTACTGAAATTCCTGCTCTGTGTATAGGAATGTGGAAATGACTCAAAAGTGTTTGGGATGCCTTTGTGGATTCCATATATATATATATATATATGTAGGGAGAGAGACAGTATTGTATTACTTCTATATAGATGTATATGGCAATAGCATACAAAACTAATATGAGACATAAAAGTTGTTAAAAGACATTATGTGACAGATTCACAATTTTTCCTCTGTGTATAGAGAGCAACTTGAGGTCATGGCACCAAATGAATCTTTCAGAAGTGCCTCATTTTGTTGACTACGAAGGCTTACCCCATATTTACTCAAAAAACCCCCCATATTTTAAGATCTTTAAAGCCAGTATTTTGGTCTGTTAATATGGACCTTGTCAAAGAAAAGTGCAAGCTATTGCCACCAGCCAGGTCCATTCTTGTGTCGGACCCTGCAAATAATAAGTGTACGCAAAGAGTTTAAAACTTTGATTGAGGATGCAGTCAGTATTGCGGGTGGAGGTGCTAGGAGCACAACCCCTGCCTGCTAGGCTTTGTGGAGAAGACCACAACAATGTGCTCATGATCAAAGCAGTGAATAGTAAAGGAATGTATTAGAGCTTTGGAGAAATTGCTTTAAAAGACTTTAAAAGTCTCTGGAATTACAAAGGCAGTGAGAGCAACTTTCCATAGACTTTTTGGAAATACCCTGTGAGTCACTGGTAGGTTCCCCTGGGAACGGAAGGAGCCAGTAAGATGGTAATGGCCTATTAAATTCGATAGGACATGCTTTGGTGGCGAGTGGTGGGACCATGGCATTTCCATGTGTTTTCGCTAGCTCACAGCAGAAGGGCATGCATGTTGTACTTCCTTTGGGGTACATTTTACACGCAGCAAGATAGGGATGCAGAGGCAGCTGCCTTCTCCCAGAGAGCCTGGAAGCACTGAATTTCCCTCTGGACTAGCACTCCTCTTGATACGCATCAGTGTTTTAATGGTATTCTCTTGTAAAGAGGAGGTTTTAAAAGGTGTTTTTAATACATGAGACAAACTTAAACCTCGTTATCAGTGAGTCTGGGGACCCACCATCCTTGTGTTATCTCAGGGAGGCACAGCCCCTGCTCACATTACCTCATGTGCAAGGACCAAAGCGGTATCCTGCTCTAGGCAACGGTTCTTGTATCAGCCCAACAAGAAAGCAGGGATATGAGAGGTTCCTTTGGCAGTGCAGTTGCCCAAGGATGCATCTGGAAAGTAAGGTCTGCTTTGCTGTGGGCAGAGCTATTACACTGATATTCCAGGCTTTGCAAGAGGATAATGTTCTTTGGGTGTTCCCACCTTCTCCTGGCTTATACATAAGATGACAGCAAGGCTGAAAAGACTCCGTTGGATGCCCAGAAAGGGACAAAGTTAGTAAGGATTGCCATGTAAAGAAAGATGAGGCATGAGCAGTGGAATTGGCTTGGTTTCTTAAGGCAACTTTATGACTTTGTTTTCCTTCCTAAACTTTTCTGTTGCCTTTTTTTTTTTAATTTTTTTTAGTAAAATAAATCACAGCTCATAAGATAACCACTATGCAAATAAATACCTTGCAGTGTTGCAATATTTTTGGTGGCTTGCAATTAGCCTTGATAACCCAAAGGATGGATACTAGCATATGTCATGGGTGGAATCAGGAATAACATGCAACTTTGT